TAAAAAATTTCAAACGCCGCCACCACAAGTGTCATAACGTGCATCCACTTCAAAGTACACTTAACTTAGTTGACGGAAGTGCTTCGTCTAAACGCAAGTATTTTATGAATATAGAAAATAAAGCCCCAGGTAGTAAAAGACCAGAGTTTTCAAAACTTCAACTTTTCAAATCTCGTATGAAATCGAATTCCCTTGACACAACTAAAGTCTTCATAGTTAATGGAAGCATTGTTGACGACCTTGATACTGTTTCTGAACTATTTTGTCAGCGGTTCTCGCAATGCTTCAACACTGGAAATGAAAGCTCCACCAATATATTTCCAGTGTTGACATCTAGTCATCCATCCAAAAACGATTTCATATCCACAAACATCAAATAGGCCGTAGCTACCCTGAGAAAGCCTTATGACGGTGGATCGAACAGGATTCCTTTGTCATTCGTGAAATATGGTAGTAGAAAATTCCAATTATTCTGTATAAAACTGCTCAACTTATCTATGGAATATGGGACCTATCCATCTGTATGGAAAACATCTCTTATCACCCCTAGATTCAAAACGGGGTCACGTGGTGATATTTTTAACTATAGGCCAATTAACTTGAGATCTGTGCTATGAAGAACCACGGAGAAAACCATCCACAAACAGCTATTATCGTTTTTAATTTTGGCAGGTCTGATTAGCCCATCCCAACACGGGTTTATGACTAAACATTCATGCTTCACATCGCACCTGGAATTTTCGATCAAATTACATAAAAAGGAAATGTTGGTCAGTCAGTGATAATTCTGTACTTCGATTTTGTAAGGCTTTCGACAGTGTCTCACACAAACTCCTTCTTCTAAAGCCCTAATCATTTGGAATACGGAATCCCCTCTTGTTCTGAATCAAACCTTTTTTAGAAGAAAGTAGCCAAATCGTCCGCTTTGATCTTGCTACTCTTAGCCTGTGAATGCAACTAGTGGGGTAATACAAGGAAGAGTGATTGGCCCACTACTCTTCCTCCTTTTCATCAATGACGTGTGTTCTCTCTTTCAATATGGTAAACATTTCGTTTTTGCCAATAACCTAAAAGTGGTTTATTCATCCTATTCTTCCATCAAATTAAGCTATATATTTCAGCTGTAATCCAAGAAGAAATAAACAAGTTATACGAATGGACTGTTTCGTGGACTCAGTCACTGATTGTTGACAATAGTGGATTTATCCACATTGACCGTTGCCTTAACCTAAATCCGGCTATGCACAAAAATACACTGAAGCCTGTCAACACTGTTCGTGACTTGAGTTTGAGACTTAGCAACAGTTTGAGCTTTTCCGAGCACATTGGACCTCAATTATCCCAAGCTAGAAATCTCATTAGATTCATAATGATAAACTTCAATAACATCGAGTCGAGATTATTATTATACGAAAAATGTATCCTACCCATTCTTAAATATGGTACTTTAGTTTACAGTAATTGCAGGCATAATGATCTGATGCAAAACTGAAGGTGTTCAAAGAAGGTTTACCATAGCTGTTTTAGTGCAATCCCACACCAAGAACCTCTCTGGATCAGGCGTATTAAATTAAACCTTGTGTTTCGCTAGCGGCTTATTCACGGTATTTTTTACTCTTCGGCATCCACCCCCTCATATACTATGACGTCATACCACAATGTATGCAATAAGAAAATAATTCTAACGATTCCGAAAATCTACACAAACTTAAGTTAGAATTATTCCGTTATTCGATACTCAACCATGTAGAACAGGCTATCAGAGAACCCACGTTGCAGTGAATGTACGACCCGGTTCAGAAGTCTCCATGATGATTTTCTTTCTGAAAGTGGATTGTGTCACCTTTTGAATATCAAAGTGCTTAACAATGACATATACAAACAAGGTCCGTCATCTGATTGACTAAAAAACAAAGTAGAACATTTGAAACTTTACACTTCTATTTTGTTTTATTTTATTTTCATTCATCTGAATTTCACTTGTGTTCATATTTATGATAATAATTATTACTGTGATTGGTCCCTCGACACATTAGACACTCTTGTTGTCCCTCATTTTCCTCCTAAACATCCGAAATCTATAACAAAAAACAAATTAACTTATGTTACCATTAAATAAACTAACTTCTTAGGTTCATTTCATCTTCACCACATAAACATAACAAATGGAAATTTGTATTTGCCTATCCTTTGCAATTATTTATGACATTTATAGCATCATTCTAAATTATTATCGCACAAGAGTTTATACTAATATCAAGTTTCAGTAGGCATTCTACTACATAAATTTACGTGTATTTACTTAAGTGGAATTTTCTCGTTTAAATTAATGGTTTGCTTCAGAGGTCGATATTAACATGCTTGGACCCTTTCACTAGGAGTTTATCCTTATTTGGAATTTTCTCTTCCTCCCACCCCCTAAATAAAGATCATCATTAAGTAACCAGAGTTTGTAATTACGATAGTATCTTATGTTATACTCAAATTGACTTCTCAGACTCGCTCTATATTCACTATGTATATATATATATATATATTTCGTTACCTTTTGCACCTAAGTGAGACTTTTATAGCATCGCTCCAAACCGTTAATGCACAAATTCTTATTCTACCATCATATCTTACTTCAGTAAGAAGTCATATTCCTAATCAGTTATTGTAATATTTTTTGTCTTTTTTTATTCATTGGACAGTACATACGTGATAGTTTGTTCTTGTTCTGTGTTCACAAACATGCCTATTAAACTATTTACGTATTTCGAGTTTCCTTCATTACTTTTCCCTTCCTTTTCTCCCCTCTTTCTGAATCGCTTCGATATTCCTCTCAACGACACAGAACCTGATTTATGATTATTGTTCTATTATGATAACTTTTTTCTTTTCTTTTCTTTAATATGCTCTTCTTAAAAATTTACAGTGGGGGCTGCAATAATGCAGACTGCAATAAATTCCGAATAGGATCAACTCGAAGTCAGAATAAATGGCCTGGTTGTTCGCTAGTTGCTATCCAGTGCGGAAAAAATAACCTAGAATGTTGCGAAAGTAAACTCCAGATTGTATAATTGTTGAGGTGGCATGAGAAACTTGACGTGTATAACCCTACTGTCCGTTTGTTCCTCATCCTCCTGTAATTCAGCAAGAATAATCATAGGTGGTGTGGTTGATCAGAGAAAGGCTTGTTTTTTAATCCTTAAACATATTTTGTTGCACATCTTTGTGGAGTTCACTGGAACGGAAGGTTTGAGGCTTGAAAAACTGGAGAGTTTCCTGAAATTTCTCGATGGTTTACAATGGATGTTGTAGTGTTGGCACAAACAAAGGTTATTTGTTTATCGCGACCTAGGAACAGATGTTTTTCATGTAGGGCTGCTTTGTGGTTTTTCAACCATCGGCGATCATGCTGAAGCTTAGGAATACGAGAGTACTGAGGATATCTGTAGTTTCATTTTGAGTTGATTGATGCCTTCGTTTGAGAGAACAAACTATAATACTAATGGTCCTAGTGACCTCTTAAGGCGGTTAGAAGATGCAGTGATTTCGTCCAGAGCGTCATTTTGAAATAAAATGATGATGTCTTGCACAAGTTGAGGAAAGGTCATAGGGAACAAATTGTTTAGAGTGAATGTCAGAAGTTCGTTAATTAGTGGCCTTTCTTATACGTACTGCGCTTTATTTTGCCAAACCGTGTTAAAATGCATTATAAACGAACATTTATCTAGCCTCTGTTCATGGCTTTGGCACTAGGTGGAACTGCGCATACGGACCAAGCACACCGTACATGCAGAAGTTGGCTTGTGAATAGAGTTCCGATGTTATCACGAAAGAATGAAGTGAACTGCAGAGTGAACGGGCGTGGTTGAGGGTTTTGATAAAATAGCAATAAAATGTGTAACTTTTGAAAAATATCTCGGCATACGAAAAGATTTCACGTGCAGGTTAATAAATAAATAAATGTATATAGTATTACAACAAAGAACAGACTAGTAGTATATCGTTTAGTGTGCCAGATTGCAAAGGTTTGGACCGTAACACCTTCATAATCGAGGATCCCAAACCAAGCCAAAGTATAAACCAACTTAAAATATGTGGTCCTTTTCCCTATATCGTATCGTAGAACGCGAGGCGCTCTTATATTAACGAATAAAGAATCAATATTGTCTTGCTCCTTTCAGAACTTATCATATCACAGATAAATAAACTATTGGTGTGATTCTTTTTTTCGTATGGTCAATGAATGGGACACCTAACTGGAACAAGTGTGTGGTGGACCTCAGCGAAAGAGCTTAGTTAAAATATAACAATACGCAAAGTTACCAACAATATACCAAAAGAATTAACACTACAAACAGTTAAATTATAAAAAGGTATATTGAGCGACAAAATAGTAACAGTGTTATGAAATGAATGTTACTTGTAAGCTGCTTTCTGAGATAACAACCACAAATAAGTTCACTTGGTTAATAAAGGTTCCACTGCACGTGATGGCTTCAACAGCAAAATGAAGAAGATTAGATCCATTAGTATTATTCAGTAATGATCCGGGCCAAGGCTCCAACGTAGTGTGGAATGGCCTAAAAGGATGTTCTAATACTATTATAATCTTCAATCAAAGGCCGTGGCCGTTAAAGCAGAAGAATAGACGGCGGATACAACGTATATATTTTAAGAATCGCGGTAGTGAAAAAGTGTTATATATATCCAAACAAAAGAATTCCTTCCTTTAACATTGATACAGAAAAACAATAGATATCGAATATAAGTGTGGTTACATATAAAGTGTGACAACTAGGAAAAATATGTGATCTTTAATTTGTTGTTACAAAAAATCACTAGATATATATGTCACTATAAGTGATATCAGTCTCATAAGTAAGTCCTTTCAATGAGAAGATTCTTCACCGAAAAGGGCGCTTCAGAGATTAGCACATGCTTATAGACCTAATATTCCGTAGATTCATGATCAAGTGCCTTAAGGTGTGTTCATTAAAGCTGTTGTCAGCTTCAATGTCGAAGGGTGACAGGATTAAACATTTTTGAGATTTACTTACCGTTGAAAATAAACCTAGATCCCTACCTGGGAAAATCAGTGGTACGGGAACCGGTTAGGAGAAAGTTTCTTAAATTCGGTTCACAAATGTTTGCGTATTTGACATAACTCCACTACAGACTTATTCGCGCAAGATATAAATGTCTTGCTAAAGGACACTTGCTTGTCGATCGCGCTATTGTGTTCTTTGAAGCTTTTAAAAATAGTAGGTACATATATTCTGAAGACGGTTTCGATTCAAAAGTGTCAAATACTTTTCCCTCATCAAGTGTGTATATGTTTGTCGTTACAGTATTTTTAAGTGACTAGAGTAAACCTAAAATTTTCACCAAATTTAGAAGATTAGGTGTTTAATATAACAATAACCCTAAATCAAATTCTATCATTAGTCTATGCATTCCGTTTTTTCCTGCTGTCGTTCGTGCTTGTTCTTTGAAGATTGGTCAAATAAAATTCTCATGGGTTCAGCTCAACACAATACCCCAGCAGATTGAATATACAAACTGAATGTTTATCAACGTAGAAGGATGGGAAATATACTAAGTATTCCTATCAACTGAGTACCTTAACACAATTACAACTGGTGTAAGAGTAGGTTAAAAAAGCTAGGGAAACCAGTCCATGAAAGCATTAACTGTTGAACTTAGCCATCTAGGATCAATGATCGGAGGCTGGGTGACATGTTTCAGGTGCTCTTTGTCTTCCCTTAGGTCTTTGGTTTCTAGATTACCATACAAATTCACCTTTTTCTCATAAATGAATATTTTCCTCTAAAATCCTATCTTCGATGCCTTTTGCATTGTCACAGCTATTGTAACTACCTCTACTCTTGTAAGGATGGCCCTGACAGTTTTATCTCGCTTAACTACTAGAGTTCGTCAGCTAGAACCAATTTACGCATGTGACATGATCTACGTTGAATATGACTGACTAATTTTCGGTGAATGAGTTTATCTTTTATGTCGGCCCTGTATTTACACTTGTAATAGACTACCATCACTAACTTTAGATGTTTTTATTGCTTTTCGAAGCAGCGTTATAAACTAATATTATCCTCAGTAGTATAACGGTTTTAAAGTGGTAAAGTGGTTCTATTATTTTATTTATTTAAACACATATCGGTACAAAAGGGCACCAGATACATATGCGCCACACAAAATAATGAAAGTAGGAAGAGAAGGGATGAAAAGATAAGGCGGACTGAAATGTACAACCAGAAGAGTCTTTTAGTTAAGAAAGTTAGAACCACTCTTTATGTAGAAAGTAAAAGAAGGTTGCAGCAGGATCGCCACTGGCTTCTATTCTGAGCCATATCTGATAACGTCTCTAGCCACTGTGTTGCACCATCCCTCGGACCCCAGCCAGGGAGTCGTGAAGGACCAACAGAAGCTAGCCCTTTGCAGCTCTCTTTCATGCCACGACACTATGTCATACACTGACCTCCTCTCCGCTTTTTCCAACCAGTCCCAGAGTCGGCAAATGATGCACGGCGTGGAAGTCTCTGGGACGACATTCGTAAAACATGTCCAAACCACCGAAGTCGGTGTTTCAAGATGGTGACACTAATTGAATTATCGTCTCGGCGCCCGAACACACGATGCCGAACCTCTGCATTGCTAACATGGTGTTGCCACTGTATGTCAGCAATCCTTCGGAGACAACGATGATCGAACACAGAGAGACGTCTAACATCCTCAACTCGGAGAGGCCAGGTTTCACAAGCATAGAGCAAAACTGCTCTCACCGACGCGTTGTAAATCCGACCTTTTACAGCCAGACTAACATCACGAAGGCGCCAAAGATGGCCCAGATTGGCATAAGCCGATCTGGCTTTCATTATACGTGCATCAATCTCATCACTCACGCCACCACCAGCACTTATGTAGCTACCTAGATACACGAACTTCTCAACTACTTTAATCTGCTCACCATCCAGTGTGAGTACAGGATTAGAATCCTGCCAGTCTTGTAGAAGTACTTTGCACTTGGAGGGTGCAAAGCACATGCCGTACCTGCGGACACTGATTGCCAACTGATTAAGTGCTGATTGCATGCCTTGGGCATTATCGCACAGTAAGACAATATCATCCGCATACTCAAGGTCGAGAAGTCGTTCCCCAGGCAACATATCCACACCGCCATTACTTACATCCATCAGAGCTGTTTCCAGGATGTCGTCGATGGCAAAGTTGAAGAGGAATGGTGAGATCGGGCAACCCTGTCTAACCCCACTGCTCGAATGAAACAAGGGAGAAAGGTGGTTGTATGCCCTCACTCTGCCTGAGGTGTTCGTATACAGGACCTTTAAGATGTTAATGAACTTTCCAGGCACACCTTTCTTCAATAGACAATCCCAGAGAACAGTCCTGTCCAACGAATCGAAGGCAGCCCTGATATGAAGAAACACTACGATTGTTGGCCTGCGATAAGTATGACGGTGTTCTAACATTTGGCGGAGGGTGAAGATGTGATCAATGCATCCTCAACCAGAACGAAAACCAGCCTGCTCCTCGCGAGTCAATCGTTCTCGGGTTTTAAACAACCTACGAAGAATGACAGAAGCCAATAGTTTGGACGCAATCGGAAGTAGACTTATCCCCCGATAGTTGTTACAGGAACAACGTAAACCCTTTTTAAAGATAGGGACGACTATTGACTCATTCCATGATGTTGGAACACTTTCTTGCTCCCAAACCTTTGCAAACAACACCGTCAGGTTCTTAGCCAGAAAGTCACCACCATCTTTAAAAAGAGCCGGAGGTAAGTCATCTGGGCCCGGTGATTTGTAGCGCTTCAAGAGTTGGAGTTCCTTGCGGACTTCCGCCTCGTTTGGTGGATCAGTCATCACCGGCCATGGGGGGCAGGACAAACTGGTTGATGTTACCGGAGCAGCAGGCCAGTTGAACTGCCCTTCGAAAAACTCCGCCCATCGTCCAAGACGTCGAGAGATGTTAGTGATTGGCATCTCGTCACTACAATATCTGTCGAACGCGCTTTCTGGAGAAGAACTGTTAACTGGTGGTAAAACTCATCCTTGATTGCATCCGGGCTGCAATCTGTCGGGGCATAGGCGGAGATGACGAAAAGACACCGTTTCTCACGCTGGTTTCTTCTCAATTTGGTGGAACTTTATAATCTAACAGCACATAACCGACTGTTAATGGGGATCCAATCGATTAGTGCTGCCTCAGCCCTAGCGCTTAGTGCAACACCAACGCCTGCAAGACCAGACGAAGATGCCACAGAGTCCCCGGATAAGCGCACGTGAAACAAGCTTTTCGAAGCGACAGATGGAGAGCGAATTTGTAGTACTTCACTAGAGTCTTGAATACGGGTCTCGGATAGACAGCAAACATCAACATTAAGACTTTCTAAAGACATAGCCAGCCCCATCTGTTGTCCGATCTGCATTAGTGTGCGAACGTTGAAGGAAGCCAGCTTGAACGGCGTACGTGGTTTCAGAAAGACTGCTTCAGTATTCGTAATCGGTGGAAGCATTCACTTCCAACTAGACAGTGACTGGAGATCGTTTAGATAGGACAGAGTTTCCACCATGGGCGAGCTACTGCATAAGTTGGAAAGGAAGGATACACAATTTGGGAATAAAGGGGGTGAAACAGCGACGTAGTAAATAATAATAATAATAATAGTGTAAATTGTCTTGCTTCTAATATGAGCGAGAATAGTATCGTCAATAGAATTCATCATTTCATTTATTTGTGTGTGGGCTGTGATACTGCCCGGGTGCCCAAACCGAAGCAGGTGGTTTTCTTAGGGGGCCACACCCCGAGCCTTTGACCTAAAGATCTGATCCAAAAGACAGTGGAGCATCGTGAGGAGATGCAGTCCCATGGTAGCCGGTGACCAACAGCAGGTTCATTCGCCATTCGTTCCATCAGGATACTGGAGCCCACGTGCACCATTAGTTTGAAATCAGGGTTTTCCAACTCCCATAGGTGGACCCTCCGTGTCCACCAACCCGGTTAAAGCACCGGACATTCGCTTTTCGACCTCTCACTTTCGTAAACAACAGTAGTGCCACGAGAAGGCAGTGTGTAGGACTTCCCTGGCAGAGGCTATATATTCGCTAGCCATGTGAGAGCATTTCGAGAGGGAGAGTGGACTCTCCCTACTCTCGGCCGTACCAGGGCATTTGGGGGCGGTCAAGTGGTTCAGTAAGCTCATTTTTCTATCTTGTTTGTGGTGTGGTATCAGTCCCTCTGACTAGTTAATGAATAGTAATAGCAGTAATAAAATGTTCTATTACGTACATAAGTATATAAGTGCTGTGATGTTTTCGAAGCGAAATCTGATTTGGAGACCAGTCTCTAATCTGAAGATTCCGTAATCTGAGCACTTGTATTTGTTCATTTTTTCTATAGAATGTAACACTATATTCTTCGTTTTTAGGTTATGATATGCTCGAAGCACATTTCTAGTAAGTTCCGATTACTTCTATTTTCAGATTTGTTCCAGAATGTGTTTCGCTGGGCGTCCTGTCAGGTGGTTTTCAATAGTACAAATATACCAGACTTGAAAGGACCAAGGTCTTTAAGTGCTGTTGCCGAGAAAACCGCACAACCAATTATGTAATTCTGATATTTCAGCCTAATTAAATGAAGTTCGGGCCATCATGTAGTTACAGAGGAATGTTTGACTTCATTAGTGGAAGATAAACAATATTACGAAACCCCCATCCTTCATTTGCTCTCAAGAAGAAACAACGTAGTTGCAACATTAACTGACTGCAATGGACGAGTTCTGAATGGCACTAGTTGTGGTGCCGAAGGTTTCCGGAACGCTCGTAAAATGTCTACTGTTGCTTTTCAAACTGTGGGTATCTCCATAGGACTGAAGGCGAAAAAGCTTGGGATTGGAGCTGTGCGTGTTGTATTTAATGGGTTAGGGCCATGTAGGCTGGTAAGTATTTCCTTGCTTTTTGGTTAACCTAATAGCCTGTGCTTTCAGGTTTGAATATCTCGGGACTAAAGATGATCTCTTTGACGGATGATACAAAAGTTCATTACGGTCATGGGCGAAGACCTAAAAAACAACGTAGGATTTAAAAGGAACGTTTATATCAATCTTGATTTAATCATGGTAGTGTACATAAAATAAACTCCAGAATTTGGCCTATTTACTTGAGTTTTCTGTGTGTAGTTGTAAATTACTTTTCAAGTTTATGTTAATGAAACCTTGAGAGATTCTATTCACTGGTTAGAATGTTGGTCAAACCGCTGTGGTGTGGTCTACTTATATCTATATAAGTAGTATATGGTGTGGGTCAGACATAGGATGTATTTTGGCAGAAGACCGATGAGCAAAGAACTGAAATGAAGCGCAATCGTCTGGAAAATGCATGAGCAATGGAATAAGAGAAGAAACAGTGAAGATTGAAACAATTGGTTGTTAATTTGCAAATTGACTGTACATTGTATGGTTTTCAGAATTTACTGAGATAGTCTGTAATCTTTGCTGAAATACATTCGATTGTCCCCAACCAGTGTTTTGTTCACTACACCGCTACCACATTTGATGTAACAATGCATCACTCCTAATGGAGATATGTACCATCGAAAGTCCCAGAAATTGCGAGAAACTCAAGTCAATTCAAACAAAGACGCTTAATTAGTTCTCTGTCCAAAGTTATTTCCAATAAAAGTTAACATGAACTACCGAATAATTGTATTACTAGTTGCCGTATACTTCAGCTAGGCGAGTATTGAGGTAAGAGTCTCATGGGATGTCATCAGTCGCTTGTTATTCGATTTTACTGAGGCCCAACTGTCATATGTACTAATTACTTCGACAATTCCATGAACACGTGAGAAAAAGCAATGAATTCAACCACAATTCAGAGTTGCAATGCGCACCATGGGACAATGATTTGTGTAAATGCAATCAGTCACCAACAATCTCAAATAAGGTGTGGTAATCAGCTCTACTTGTCTTTTGCATTTTAAGACTGTACTATTTGCATATTGTATTTCGCTTAAACATCTTACTGGTTTTGGATACAAAATAGTAACGTTAATTGCCGGTTGAGTAACTCAGCATAAAGTTTCCTTACTAAGCGTATGTTTCTAGGTTGTGGTGCAAGTTGACAGTCTAAGGTCTGATTAACCTTTCAACGCTGAAAATATGCAGGGTCAGATGATCGATAAAATCGGTTGCTGACGCTAGAAATAAATCTATCCGTTACGTATGCAAGAATGTTTATTCGAAGGTAGTATTTATTTGATCTTAAATCAATTACTATATTAAGTGGTGCAAACATGCTTAGCATGATTGGAGGGAAACGTCAAGGCATGCACCCTGATGAAAGTTACTGGGAGGTTCATTCATATGTTTCTTTTGAATTACGAGTTCATGTGCACTAGTGATTTGTAATATTAGATCCTCAAAATTGGGACACAGGATACGCCTTCTTACTTTCAACACGAAGATATGCCCTATTGTGTAGGAAATTATTGACATGACATCCAAAAAGCCGTGGTTTCTATTAGCACTTTAAACCAAAATCAGCGGCGTCTGTTAAACTAACTAGATGCTCCAAAACTACCATTTGGTCCTAAATATGAGAAGCGGAGGCAGCGTTCGACCCCGTTGATCGTAAGGTCCTATAAGTGGCTACCACTGGAAGGAGTACTAAACAATCACACTAACCTTGTATAAGCTTTCGACACGAACACAACTTGTAGAGTCATGACATATGGCGAACCGTCGTCAGGATTGGTTACTTCAAGCGGTGTTCGTCAGGGCGCTCCGCTTTCTCCCTTGTTATGTAACTCCACTACATACATAAGTTTAGAGATAACACTTCCATCCTCTGACTTTTCAGTAGTTGGTTCTTTACCAGGAGATACACTAGTCGGCTTAAAATACACAGTTCTGTTTGGTGAGGACGCTGACAAAATGCAGTCTTCTGACCACCTAAAGCAACAATATAAACATATTCGGGAAGCAGCTATTTTCCTCCAAATGTAAAATGTTACTTCAGGACTGGCTTGAGTCATTGCCCGAATTGATGGTAGTGAGTGAGGTAATTGAACGTAGTGACCACCCAACTTATCTTGTGAGTCTCATCAGTCCTGATGCTCTGGTGTCTGATGAAGTCTCGGCACGGATTCAGAAGGCTCCATCGGTTTTTACCAGACTTGTGACGTAGGAGAGATATCCGTCTTCCAATCAAACGGCGAGTTTGCTGGGAAACAGTTCGCTCTATCCTACTTTGTGGACGCGAAACATGGCCATTAAGAGTAGAGAATATTCGCAGGTTACTGATATTCGACCATAAGTACCTTCGAAGTATTGCTCGTGTATTTCGGAAACACAAAGTAAACAATCCCTGGCTTAGGAGGAGAGTACTAGGTAAAGGTGGGAAAAATCCATAAGCTAGTAAGTTTCCATCAACCGAGTTGGTCGGGGCATGTGTTACGTATGCCCACCTTGAATGCCAATGTAGTCTGGTGCAGCCGTAGTTTAGAAGAAAGCTAGGGATTGGCAAACCAAAATATAGCATCCGTTCACGAAGTCACTGAGAATCAGACAGCCATATTGACCGTTGTAGACAACCTGGTTGGGGGTCCGTATGACTATCGTAACTAGTGGTTGCAAACTTTGAATGACGGCTAAAAATTGTTTGCAATGGCGCAGGTGTATCCGTCCTTTGTCATCTTCAAATTCTAAGTCTCTAAATTTTCTATAACTTCTTTAGCAATTTATATTTTCTCGAGTCTTATTTTTGATGCCTAATCTCCCGCATTACCACTGATGCTGTTGCCACCTCTTTTCCGCGATTTGGCCTGACAACATCTTTCGCCGTAACGGAGTGTAACTACTTGAACCGGAAACAACTAAATAGTTATTTTCTTGGAATCGCTTAATTAATACATGTCTAATTTCGAAAAGTCGCACGAACTTCCTTTAGTCTTTTTACAATTTTAAGTCAGGAGAGACTATGCTGTGTACGAGGGACTTGGTACAAAAATTGTGAAAAACAAAAATCGATGCTACTAGGTTCGAGCTACATCAAGCGTCGGCCATGAAGATTCAAGTTATTGTTGTTTTATGTCGTACTACTTGATACCCATAACTGAAAATCACCACGCATAAGCGCATTCCAAGCTAAACAATAAGCACATAATACACTAATGCGACATAAACAAAGGTACGTCTAAGACAAGTTGTACAAGCAATGGTGTCCAAGTCCCACAGTGCACAAGCTCATGTCATACATAAGTAGCCTTTTGCAACATATAAAATAGTATCCATAGCTCATAAACTTTATTGCGCATATTCAATAAACAACTATAACAGAAAAATTATGTCTAGTTGTAAATTTAATAAGAAGATGCATCATTTTCCCCACATATCGTTACATCCATATTCATCGTACAGTCTCGTTGAGTATCAGATTGTTCGTAGTTCTTAAGTGGGAAACTGTAACCTAAATAGCAAAATGTGAAAGCAGTACAGAAAACTATACGTTACGGGATGCAGAAAATGGTATTATTAGAACAGATAAGTCGACTTAATTAGAGGAAAATCGAGTACACGTTTTGGTCTATTTACTGTGAAAACACTACGCTGTAATCACATCTTGACTATTAGCTTGAAAATTTTGATGGCATATGTCTGGCCTTATTTTTATTTATGGTCTCACATCTATGAGTGACATCCTCTGATTAGGCTTGGAGAACTAGACTACATGTTAAAAGTTATTTGTAAGCAAGTAACATGGCTAAACTGTATGCTTCAAATGCAGTGCGACTGACCCGAACCCAAGTGTACGTAGTCACTCAGATTTAAAGTGATTGAGTGACAACGTGCAATTACTTCATTTTATATAAAGCTCAGTGTTACAACCCTGCCTCTAGATAAAGTAGATGAAAAGGCGTTTGCGGATACACCATAGTAATTCAAACAATAAGTCAGGCGCTTACTCATTTAGTATACTTAGTTAGAAAGCTTATAGATTGTGCGCTGAAACGTCTACCCATTATGGTTTCCCTTTTAAACACCTTTCCCGAAAATGGATGGGTGGCGTACATATCTTCAACGTTCTGAAAAGATCTATAAAAATTTGCATAACAACGTTAAGGCAAGCTGAGAGTTGTTCAAATAGATAGGCAAGACATGAAAAAATTAGACAGTAAGTTTCCACGAATTAAGGTAATACGGAATGCCAGCTCCTCTATTATTAAAGTCATAAATTTGTTTAGTGCAACATATAATTATAATTGGACGTTTACTGCTTCGGAAATATTCTTTTTACACCATATATAGCGACTTGATATAATAAATCCTTGATAGAAAGGGCGTGCTTTTGGCTTAAGCTCCAAAGGCTTGTAACGCAATCTAAACTACGAAAAGCCAAGATCCTCCTCTGAGTGGCGACCTAAAGACGTTTAGCTTGAGCTGCATGTATAACACGTTGGTAAGAGTAGGACAAAGCGCTCGTAACAAAATGCTTATAATATGCAGAGCCACATACGTTACTACAGATGATCCTGAACAACTTGACACCAAGGGCTTGGGTATATGGAGGTTCGCGTGTTAGCAGCTAGTAGTGTTCTCAGTTCTAACTCTCTAAACCAGTGTCTATAATTACTGAATGTGGTTTCAGTATTTGCAAATCTGACAATTCTAGTAAATTAATTGTAAGGCTTGGAAAATGTTCTTCACAAGCATTCTACATTGGTGATAGTACTCACTTTCCTTTTTTACAAGCGATGAAATCACACTAGTATCAAGTGCAGACACGCGTAAGCGACTTGCATCCAGAACATTACATTGCTGGAATTGAGTATCTATATCACACGACAAATTAAGTTGTTCATTCGATGCAGTATTTGACTGAGTTTTTGGAGTAATCGCAGGAATCTCATTTTTTTCTGCAATGAATACATTTTGCGGGGAAGATATCCTTATTTCTTCGCTTTCTACCTGGACGTTTGTGTAAGAAACTGATTTACGACTTACTGCTGATGCACTTAGTGCGTTTTTTAGTGTCTCCACAATAGACACGTTGTAGGAACTGGATATTTCTTCAGCTCTAGATGTAGTAAAAAGAGTCTTGACAACTTACATTTCTCTTATCACATCAGGGATCGCTGTGCGAATTTTAAAGTTTGAAAAGAGGGTACTTACCAGTCAGTTTAAAGTTTTCAGTACATTTCACTTTCCACAACTCGATAAAGGCGTGTAGCTTTTCATTTTGTGCTATATGTCGGTTGTAATCATCTAGCTTTTGTTTGTATTCCAGGATAAAGTCAGTTCTTTCTTTCCTAATGTGCAGAAAGTGTTCACTTAGTCAAGAGAAGTCTCATTAAAATATATGCCATGAAACATGAAGCTCTCAAGACAAAGAATACCCGCCTAATAATAATCACGCGAAGTAGACATAAGATTGTCTGTCCTACATCATTTAGTTGGTTGGACTACTAGGAATCAGACCCAAAATCCGCCAAATATATGACCGAACTGAGAAGTCCCCACCGCTCCGTAAGTCCATAGATGAGCCGGTTAGTGAACCCAATATGAAGCACAGTTATACGCCTGTGAGGAAAACATATTGTATGGGTGTTAATTATACTACCCGGACAGGTATTTAGACTTTTTCAACTGAGGCTTAACGGTTGCCGTCTATAATCACAGTGGCCTGGGAAGCAACACGGCTCCTTATCCGGTAGTTACGCGACACAAGTGCCTGTATTTGGATCTACATAGAACAGGACTCTAAACAGTTATCTTAGTTTTGTGTATGATATTACGAACCTTTTTTATTTTGAGAAAAACGCCATGTGACAGTTTTTTATACATGCTTTGGTCGTTAATTAGTTTACGCAGGTGTTTCGATATTCTCGAGAGCTTGTTTTAGGTCAGCCCGACCGGTTATGGTCTTTGAAACGTCTTGTATCCAGGAATATTATGCAGAGAGATTTTGCGAACTTTCAACTGCATATTAAAAGGCAAAAACTGTAAATATGCGGTTGTCAGTAGCAAACTCAATTATAAACCGAGCTCTGTATCCTGACTTAGTACTATGCATCTTTCGCCAGAATTCTCTCCGCATAAAACAGCATAACATATTGGAAATGTGTAAAGGATTGGTATAGTCATCTAATTAGAAGGAAATACTGTTTACGTGTGAATCTGGTTAGTTTTTACGATACATGTTAGATTGATAAGTGTATTTGACTTTCCATATTTTTAGTACAATTCCAAGGACTAAATCAAGTACCGAAGTAAAGGCTAACTACGGGATAATGTTTTGATCTTCTCTTAAAAAGGAGTGATCTTTCGCTGTGAGTTCGGGTATAACTGATTAAGGAGACTGATGATAGATTGTTTTTTCGGACAAGTTGACGATGAAGTACTTTTTCCTGTCTTGCTTCTTTGAACAATTCAAATTGTCTTAATGCTCTTTCTTAGCATTCTGAGTAATCATTATAAATGTAACATCATGATTTTGTCACGTTCTACGATTATCAGTTCGCTGACGAGCATGAAACGATGTTAAAGATTGAGTGTAAAAAATCATGAACAATGACAATACCTAATTCTCTCATTACTGCTCATGATCTCTGAAAGGATTACGTTAAGGCAACGAATTTGTTCATTTATTACTTCACTGACGTCTGAAAGACTACAGATTATGAAATGTCAAGAAAGATTCATTTTATGCCAGTACCCACAGCTGTAATCATCTGGCTGAAAATATGTTTCCTCTAAATTCCTTAACTCTTCCTCTTGTTGCTGCTTGAACTTTTTTTGAGACTCAGCTTCTTGAGTTAAAGAAATTAGCTTTTGCTGAAGATCTGTAACAGCATAGAAATTCAAATTAACTATACGTGATATATTGTTTTTTTCCAGCTCGACCTGACTGGAAAGTTGTTGAACCTCGATTCCTTGATAAGATATACGTTAGAGAGGTTAACATTTACCTATCTCCTTTACTAAACGGCTCAAGTCAGACATTACTATCGCCCGCTTATTCGACGAGTATCTTTGGTCGATTCGATAAAACGTTTAAAGTTCAATTTTGTATTGATGATTTATTGAATATAAATTATGTTAATTCATTATTTGCTTTTTTCCAAGTTTTTGGCATGTTCGAATTCAATGCTTATTGCTACTTATTCTCTTAAACTCATTCTGAGAGTGTAATCTAACATATAATTATAAATATAATCACCCTCACTTCAATTATAAGGATACTAGGTCGTAAATAAAGCCTCGACCATCTCTTTTATGTTACGTGGTTTTGTGCAGCTGAACTTTTATGAAGACGGGAAGTATTTAAAATACCGTGCTAACAGAGAAATATTTCAATATAAGGCATGTAGAACTACGTGAACATAAATGAAGCTATTGTATTTTGTATTCATAATCAGCGGGCCATCAACTGCAAATGAATCCTTTGTTTGTGCAAATATCAAAATTTAATGCATTTTGTTGATATGCAAGACCTTGTCTTTTATGGATGAGTCTCTACGCTAGTGCTGAGACCAGAAATTGGATTATAGCATTATATAGCCAGTCGTGAATGACGGGTTTATAAATCAGTCAGTACAAGCCTTTCGTTTCAGAACAAAACCAAAAGATTTGTCTCCTTGGATGTCCGTATTTTAACTACCATAGTCTCACTGATGTCGAAATTAAAATTTGATAAATTTTATTATTCTTATGGAACGGTGTGATTATTTCTTTCGAATGCATAGTATAGAAATTTCCAAAGTCTCAGTAATACAACTAGACCTGCACCGGAAAATCCTCAATTAAGCACCTCATTGAGCATTGCAAAAGTTTACAGTGAACGGCTAATTCTATGGAGGAACGTGCGAGACAACAAAACGATATTGGCAAGTAATACTAAAGTGGAAACATAGATGCAAATGACTAATGGAACAGCTGAGAAACAATTTGGCCTGAAGGCACAATTAATGTTAATTCAAAAAAATTTTAAGGTAAGCCAGAATTAATCAAGGACCACACATTAATAAAGGTAAGTGAGCACTCAGCCAGTCGTATAAACGATCCCAACAAGACAGAACGAATGTTCTGACTGAAAAACCCAGAAGTATCAGCATATAAATAGCTTTTATTCGGTCGTTTGTAATCTGAAACGATAATCTTTCTTGACATTTAGGAAAGAAGTTGTCTATCCGTCTTGGCATAAGTATTTCGGTCAAATGAGAATGAATCATTTGAGATGTTCAACTATTATGGTGGCCACTGGTGTTTGAAATGTTAGATAAAGGGAATTAACCATCAGTCGTAAGCTCCAATGGTGTCCCAGAATCGACCGCAATTCGGAAGTTGCGAGCAGCTTATTAATTGCAAATTAACCGAATCAGAAACAATATGCATAAACACAACGACAATAGATATCAAAAATGCCATTTGTGTTACATTTGAGGATCTTGGCTTTTCCCTTGTGTATGTTGAAGCCCAGGTGATGCAGAAGCTATTGCTACATTAGTTATCATGACCTGCATTTGTTGGTGTATGGGATAGAAGGGATAGGTCATCTATGAAGTTCGAATCGCCTGGTTGCATCCAAGCTGTCCATTGTATTCCGTGCTTCCCCTCAGATATCGAGGTGTTCATAATCCAGTCAACCACCAGAAGAAAGAGGAGGGAGGAGAGTGAGCAGTCTCGTCTGACTTCAGTCCTCACTTGAAATGCGTCTTTTAGCTGTCTTCCATGCACGACTTTACACTGTAGTCCGTAGTATGAATTCTGTATGATACTGATAATCTTCTTAGGTACACCATAATGTCGAAGAAGGTTCCGTAAGGTTCTTCAGTCCACATCGTCAAATGCATTCTCATGGTCAAGGAAGTTAATGTATAATGACGAGTTCCATTCAACAATGGTCCGTAGTATTGCAATTTGGTCTGCTCATGACCGATCCTCCCGGAATCCAGCCTGTCGATTCGGAGGCTGGATGTCTACTGAATCTTTCATTCGGTCCAGTAACAGTCTTTTGAAAACCTTTCCTGGTACTCATAGTAGTGTGATGACTTTGTAGTTCTCACACTTGCTGAGATCTCCTCCCTTCGATGTCTCGATGTGGTATTCTTCTTTCCAATCTGTCGGTTCTTGTTCTTTTCAAATATTCCTGAGTAGAGCGTGAGGCATATTTGCAGTTTCCTCTCCATCTTTTTGACCATCAGCTTCCTAAATGCAGACTTGCATCATACTGGGTGAAAATCCTTTGCTGACTTTTCTTTAATTCGTTCCTCAGTCGCCAACACAAAAATCAATTTGTCTTCTTTGTCGGACGCTGCTCTGATTTCGTGAAAGGCATTGTTTCAGGCCGATTTTTATTTTATAACAATGATATTTGCGGTTGTTTTTGTATGTTTAGGCCTCTTCTGTATGCAGATGATACTAAAGTGGTATAATTAGTTTCTCCTCATGGTGTGAGCAATAAGTAGAACTGTATTAGTATGCAGATCAGCAATGTACCCCAGTAGTGTCCGAAATGGCAGGTGGAGCTTAACACGCTCAAATGTGGATATATATGCTTTGGTTGAACATCATTCAACTTAGATCTTGCCATAAATGGTGATGCGTTATCTAAGTTACATACAATAGTGGACTTGTGACTTGGGTACTCCTACGAGTTGTCCTTTACAGAACAGGCCTTGACACAGACCTACAAGTCCCGATGTCTTCTAAGTTGCATAGTTCATAAACGTCAGTACTTACCACTTTTCCGGGTCGTTGTTTTATTGCACTATCTTGTTGATTTGTCTAGAGTTCTCCAACATTTTGTTCAATTTGAAATTGGTGAACACTGTACTTTGAATAACTACATAAGATATCGTGGAATCCCTCTATGAAGAAAGAAAGAGTCTGTTACAGTTCAGTTTGTTTACGAAGAAGATGGTACTAAGGTGTGTCTATCTGTTACACTTTTATTTCACTGATCTAGATTTAGTGATATTTGGAGTCGTATTCTTGCGTATTACTGCTGCGCAAATACTCTAGAAATCTTGGTAACACAATATATTTCTTATATAGCGCGTAAACGCCATCTTCGCGGACATGATCTACAGATTAAAACATTGGTTTACAGATAGGGGACTACTCAGCTGGGTTTATTGGCAAGATAAAATGATAGAAAGCTAATGAAAGTATTTGTGCAGTTATACAAGTAAGTTAATAAATAGGCTTATATGTAGGTACCGTACTACGAGCTTAGAACTGTTGTGTGTTTAAAGTCAGAACTTCGTACTAACGGTGACCTCGTGGGGCCTGAATCTGGATAAGTTTTACATTATCACATTAGAATCGTTGTGTCCCCAAGTATTTGTACAATGGCACCTCAATAAGTCTATAAATGTTGGTAAGTGGAAATTCAAGATGGTTTCATATAACTCATGACCATGAAGAACGCGGTCCAAACGTAATGCTGAAAAAGGAGGAACGAAGGATCAACAAAGAATTCCGGTATAAAACCTTTACAATTCTAAACATTTGTCGTTTAATAGACTAAGATATAGCAAGTCTGTAGATAAAACTCATACTAGCCGCTTTTGCCAGAATGAATCGCAGTAAAACACCTTCAGATAAAAGGATGTAGCTGTAAAGAGAATGACTTGTGACATGTTACAAGGTGGAATGGGTTCGAATAATGTAGGGGAAGTTGAGGCAAGAGTAGGTATGGCTACTCATTAAGATAGACAGTGCATCAAAAGAAAGTGAAATCTTCAAAAACCCTGGCAAGTCCAACATAAAAGTATTGAGTAGCCTAGCATATCTGAAAGAAAACAGTTGAACGTCGTGACTATGTACATGACGAAATAGTTTACGTTTGTATCGTATGTGAGTGTTGGTACTACTAAGCAGTGGTGTGCACGAAATGTAATACAGCCTAAAATTACGATAGGACGGATTTTATCTTTTCTCAATAGCGTAATATTCATCTAGAACCCACAGAATGATATGTAACATAATGGTCTACTTCGTTATTAGCACTGCTCTAATAAGAGACCTAATCCCGAAATTGTAGATTTGGGATGATTTAACTGCGTAATCTGTAAGATCTTACGTGAAAGTCACATCATCGTCTAAACTGACTCATCGTATCGTAACAATTACCAATAAATGATGGAGAACACATTTAGGCTGGAGATAGAGCCATATATTTGTAAAATTCAAACTTAGGTTTAGTTGAAGAATAACTGTCTTAGTATTGTTGATACGCTGTAATCAAAACAAGGGGATATGGGGAAATAACAGTTTTAAATTTCATTATAAATACAAATGTACATTATTACCTAAACAAATATTACCATTCACTTATTCAACCAATAATTGTCCCTTCAATAATCCATCTAAATTGCAATAAATAGGCAAATTGATAAGGAATATGAGAAAATTACCAAACGCACCGAAAAAAAGTATTGTTTTATCCTTTCTTGATAGATCAAGTAAAATTTCGTTCAAAAGAAAATAGTTTGTTGCTTTATAACACAAATGGTTTCCAAATCTCGGAAAGTGCTTCAGTTTACAACCAAAATGCACGATCCTAGTCAAAACAAGCAACGCAATCAAAGAGTAAACAATCATTATGTCTGCCGCCAAGATGAAGGACTAACTAAAACAAGATAAATACAGTTCAGGAAGAAACATAGAAACTCATTGAAAGTGAAAGGAAAATGAGAAAACTATAATGAAATAAAATATTACCATTGTAAGATCCATTTTGAAAGTTTCGTTTGTGAAAATCATTCCATGCATACATTTGCAACTTGTTCTTAATGGTTTCTTTAGTTGTACATTCTTGTTAGTCTAATTGATGCCATTTGAGATTGTAATATTTCATTTCATAACAGTTCTAGCATTTTCTCTTACGCTTTCACTGAGTTTCTATGTTTCTTCCTGAACTGTATTTATCTTGTTTTAGTTAGTACTTCATCTTGGCGGCAGATATAATGATTGTTTACTCTTTGATTGCGTTGCTTGTTTTGACTAGGATCGTGCATTTTGGTTGTAAACTGAAGCACTTTCCGAGATTTG